TACAAATGAAGATTTGGAGCTTCGACGGACTACTATATTCAATCACTTTTTGAAACAAGTCCTGTTACTGTCTACCCAAGATTCCTCAGAAGAAGAAAAGCTGACCCATGATGATGTAGCACTTCTTCGGTGGATGTATTACCAGTCGTGAGTTCGTTGCCAATCGCATCCCGCTTGGCTTTCCTTTCATATTTTACTGTCTTCTATCTAAAATCAGAGCGGGTCCACCGGGAACTACAAAGGAAGAAGCAAGAAGAAGTTATATCGAAGAGTTCCAGAAACTTCTTGACGATGCTCAAAAAAGTATCGAGAAGCGATATGGCGAAGTCTACAAATCATTAGAATCCGAAAAGGAGGCCGATGAATTCTTCGCCATTGGCCGTGAGTTGTATTACACTGGTCCCAAGCAAGAGCTGACGCATTCGACATTCCTCCGCCTTCCAGACTTCATCCGTAACCAAAATGGTATCCAAGCTGTCAGGGACTTGAAATCTGTAGGTGCCATCCAACACTCTGGTGAATTCTGCGATCTACTCCAAGGTCGACCAGCCAATTATTGGATTGTTCTTGGGCGACCCCAACAATACTGGCGATACCTGCTACATGAAGGGCGACTCGATGCTTTGGAGAAGTCTCCTGCTTATCTGGCAGATTTGTCTTCAAGAAATACTCAAGGAGGAGTTCGAAAACAAGATGAGCGCCATTGCAGACAAAGTCGAAGGTGTATCATTCAAGAGTGCTCCGGGCGTCAAAGGATTCCTTCGATCGTATGAGAAAACAGAGGAATATGGAAACATATTCTCTGAAGATGTTGATGCTTCGATGAGAGTTGTTGATGGGCTTCGTTGCAGCTTTATTGTTGATTCTCTATCACAGAATCTTCAAGTTGGCAAATTGATTGAGAGTACGTTTGGGGTTGCGCGAACCAAGAACTTTCACCAGCGTGGCAATGTCAGGTATGCGGATCGCAAATACAATGTTGTATTTGTAAGCGACAAGAAAGTGGACGGAGTCGGTGACCCCATCCAGGTGATTTGCGAGGTCCAGGTGTTGTTGAAAGAGTATGACGCAATCAAGGCGGATGGACACTTGCTGTACGAGTTCCAACGAGAGCCAGAACAAAAGCCGCCTTTGAATCTGCGATCAAGTACAAGGGATGCCAAAAACTGCGTTTGTGCGTTCGGAAAGTTCTGGATTATATTTTTGGTGACACTGATTATTGGCCTCTTTGTCTACTTCACGTATGCACAGCAGATTGTTGGTTGCCAAGTCAATAATTGCAGGCCAACGTGCCAAATTTCAAATCACTCTCTCTGCGAAACTTGCAACATTGGTGATGACTGCCTTGTTGCCGACTCTACTTGGAAGACAGTTGAATGCTATTACATCGAGGATGATTGGGACGTTATTGATTGCTTCTGCACGCACCCTGGTAACACAATAACCCGCTGCAATCATTTCAACTACAACGGTACACGTACCGACGCACCAACTACAAGCCCATCTCCGTTTCCAACGTTCCCACCTTTTTGACGAATCAGAAACCTTGTATTATACGAGACGACGTCGTGTGTCCGAGGAGAGTCAGTCATCCAATGACCAATGAATGTAAAATTGGTTTCATACCGATCGTCACCAGTTTTGGCTTGTATCATAAAAATCTAGCAATAGGTCAATGCCATTATTTAAACACAACAGCTATAATGCCAAGATTGATTATTCCCTCTATGATTCGTCACGAAGTTCGAAACTTAAATTATTGGATATGCATTATGATGTTCCAGCATTTGATGCCGCATCCTACCATATGCTTCACGTATCGTATCCCGATCAATAAGGGAATGGTGGCATCGGTTCCATCAAGTTAGCGTCATTACTGGTCTACCGGTGTTGCTCGTACTGTATATCGCATAGTGATCTCCTGAAATGCGTTCCCACATTTTTGAACGGAGAAGGGCCACATTGGGGCTAATGCAGTACTCAAAATGACACGCAACATAAAATTATATTTTGCGGGATTATAATATTATATGCGGTATATTTTATATTATTGCGTGGTTTGTATCATCGCACGGCATAAACGCCATTAATGAGAGCGTTGGTGCAACTTATTGGATCATGCCTGCTTGTCGTCTTTGTACTCCTCCAGATTGAAATGATAACGAATTCGAGATCATCTTTCACCTCTGCTCTCATTCACAGCCACCTGGCAGACTTTCGAGCCAA